ATATATTCAACAGAGTACTTATTGTAAGTCATGTCATTGTGTGAGAAAGACAACTTCTTGGAGTGGCAGCCAGAACAACATATGCCATTTCCTCGGAATTATTTTAGAACTTAGTCATGTAGTATATCTCTGCATGTGAAATCAGGCAATGGGAAGATTTAAGCTAAGCTTTAACTTCTAGACAGAATGTGGCCATGTGAGCTACAGGGAGTGAGGAAAGGGTCTTCTAAGTAGAAGAAGGAGAATGAGTGAAATGGAAGACATTGATGTATTGGAGAATAGAGAATAGATTTGACAAAAAGAGCCAACAAATACCAGCAGGATGGAATCAAGTAAACTTCTTTTTCTTTCTTTGTTTTTCTTTATTACCCAAGTGCAATTAAGACATGCTTGGGGAAATTCCATTTATGAACTTGTAATTGCATACACACTACACTCCACCTTGCAGGATGATTTAAGTATGGGAAAAAACATCTTGTACAGTTGGGGAGGAGTGCTAGTATGTGTTCTCCTGTTTGAATGATGGGCAGGTGATGTATCTGTGCTAGTAATATAGCAAGTAATTATTAGTAACTGGCATTATTAACCCATGTAAAGCCTATTATAATATTAAATTAACAAATTGCCCATAGTCAACAACTTTTGATAAAAGTGACTATTATATAAAGTTCAGCCTAATTGGTACAAAATAATTCTTAGAAAGAATTTTCAAATAACTTTATGAAGTTATAGCATTATAACTAAATGCAAGTTAAGGATACTGAAAGGCAAACAGAGATATTTAATACAACTGTTCTTACAAACTGTAAATAAGAATTGCAGTTAAAGCTATACACTTTGCAAAAAAATCACTAAACTACAGTTACTTAACTGTATATTTAGTGTGATTATAAAGAAGCCATGCATAAAGAAATAATTATATGCCCCACTTCAAGGCTGTTTTCAGAAAAGCGGTCAATAAAGCTTTTTGGACAGGAATTTTATAAGCACATCTAACTTTTTCTAAATTATGCCAACTTTAAGTAGTTGTCTTTCACTTCTTACCTGTAGTTTTGAAGTCCTTTAAAAATGTGATCACAGATGTGGTGACATGTCTTGCTACCAAATGAATTTCATTTGGACCCAGTTCATAATCAGCAAAAGCAATGATTTCAACTTTCTTCAGAGATTTTATTGTTGGACACATCCTATTTTTCCATTTTTGCAATAGAGAAAAATACTCTCCACTGGCTTCAGGTTCTTTGTTTTCCCCTTCAGGTATACAGGTGATTCGTTTATCCCACATTCTAAGCAAACTTCTCTCCTCATTCTTTTGTCCTTTAGGTATGTCAGAAAAAGTGTTTTGCTTTGATATGAAAAATGGTTTTATTGTCTCCATATTATCATTAATGAGTGGTTGACTTGGGAAGCCATAGCTTGACAGTACAGTATTGACAATATTTTCTGCAGCTAAACATATTTTGAGTGGAGAAACAGTTGTCTGAATTTGGTTTGGCTCACCAACTGGATTTGAAGTCTGATAATGGAACACTCTTGGATTTTCACTTTTTCCCATTTCTATGAATGACATGACTTCCTTTAATGTTGCTTCTGTGGATTTATTTGCTTTTTTAAACATTTTTTGTAAAACACTGCCTTCTGGTAGGGAGTTTTCTCTCATGGTTTGACCAAAATGGCCAAAAGTAGATTTCCTTGGGCTGTCATCTTGAATTTTGTTTCTAGAGCTAGATGGCATATTTTCTAAATGAGAAATTTCCATTGGTTGTGAGCTTTTGACTGTGTTTTCTACAGAGACTTTGTCATACTTGGGTAAATTTGATGAAGCTCCGTACTGTTTTTTCATATCTTCATCTGAATAAAACACCAAATCAGATGCATTGGTTAGTGTAGGACTATTTCCAAAAGAAACTTCCTTTATCTTTGATGTTGGCATTTCCACATTAGTTGCTAATTCAACATGATTAACAATATAGGTATTTTCTGTCCCTTGGAACAGATTTTCCTTTGGAAGGTTTTGGATAAAAGATTCATGGAAATGGGTACACTCATCCATCAGTGTGCCAATGATCTCACTTGCTGCAATGTTTTCTTTCAATATGTTGACTGAAGATGGTTCCTCTTGGCTGATTTCTTTGTCTAGTTTATTCTTAATTATACCAAACATGTCACTGATACTATCAACAGCATATGTAAATAATTCTGAATGAAATGAATGAACTTGTAGAAGGGTGTTCTGTATGTTTTCTTTGGAAATAGTACTTGACTTGGATTCATCATGAAACTTTTTCAGTGGCTGTACTTTTGGCAACATCTTTTTGCTTAATAGTCTCTGTTGGACAGGAAAAAGGTTTTCTATCGGCATTTTTACTATTTCAGAAAACTCATATTTAGAGATACATTTGAATTGCAAGTCTACAAATGACTCTAACATGTTTAAAACCCTTTCTATAATCTTTTGAACAATTTGGTTGCTAGAGCCAAAAGCAACTGCATCTTCTTCTATCTTCGTGTTACAGATTTTTACACTGGTGAGGACATCCTTAGTCGGAAGATCATATTTACTTTTAGTGGCACTGTGTTCATTAATGCTTGGCAGTGTTTCTTTACTATCAGGAGTGGGCATCTGGGACAAAAAGCACAACTGTAAGTTTTCCAATAGTATTTCAACAATTTCTTTTGCAAACACATTAATCTGTGTTTTGGTGTCTTCAGCTCTAGTTGAAGCTCCTTTAAAATGATTATGAAATTTGCCTTCACAATGCTCAAGTGGTGGCAAATTTAAAAGTGAAAGAGAATATTCTAATTCTTTTGCTTTTATTGAAATTTCAGTCAAAACATTTTCAGCTATCATTAGAAGTTTACATTTTTCATTTTCAATAGCATTTCCTTCTGCTTGCCATTTGTCAAATGTTTTTCTAAATATACCTTCTTTAGGAAAAATCTGTTCCAATTGTGAAGATACATTTTCCAGGTAAAAACCTGCTTGTGGTTTGGCAAAAGACCCAGCACCTGTGTTGCCCTGTGAAAGCTTTAGATCATCCAGTTGTGAGAAAGCCAAAGTGTGGCTTTTTGCAGCATGTAATCCTTGCAAAATCATATTTACTACTTTATTTGCTGCCATGATTTCATCACATGGTAAAACTTTAGCCTTTACCATTGTTCTAGTTTGTGTTACCTTTTCAAGTTCTTTTACAGTTGTTTCCAGGATATTACTTACTACTTTCTTGGCATACATTTTTAGTTCTGAAGTGGGCAGTTTTGTTTCCAGTATGTTTTTGGTAGCCTCTGTTGATAGGATATATGTCAGCCCAATGGTAGTCTTAGATCGGTTATCACCTGCAGACATTTCTCCAAGACTTAACTTGGTCTTGCTTTTGGCCTTAACAGCACTAGACCCTAGGTGCATCTTTGCTTTAAATTTTGGCAGTTGAGTAACTTTGGTTCTTGATTTTAAACTTGTTTTAAAACCTGGCTTAGGGCTGCCCTTAGGGCTTACTTTAAGGGTGTTACTGTATAATGCCTCCTCAGAATAACCCTTGGGGGGCAAGGTTTTTTCTAATAGAATTGAGGCAAAATTTGTGATCTTATTGAGAACAGTTTGAACTAAATCCTTCCCAACTTGTAATGGTGAATGTTGTGAAAAAGTGTTTTCTAATAGAGAAATAGATTGACTCTCTGCATGAGGATAAGACTGTGGTATCATGGATCTAGTGGGATTACTTCCTTTTCCTGTATGTTTCATTTCTCTGATGTATGATGATTTCTTGGGTAAGTTATCATTGTTGTCAGATGCTTCTATTTCTCTACTTTTATTACTTTTATATATTGATTTCACAACTACAGAGTACATTTTTTCCAAAACACTTTCAACTATGTCTTTTGCTACACTGTTAACACGTGGCTGGAAGATGTTTTTTTGTGTTGTGTCTAATGTTTTAATTTTAGAATTTGGTGTAAAGAGGGAGATTTCATTAAATGGAGAACTATTATCTGTGGTTTCCATAATTATTTGATATACATGATTTAAAATTTCTTCCACAACACTGAGAGATGCATTTTTTTCTTTTTGTTTTGATTCTCTGTTTCTTCTAAATACTTCTTCCAAAACAATTCTCTGGCTCTCCTTTTCCAATGTTTGGCTTTGTTGCAATGGATGCTTTGAAAGCAGAGGTAGTTCAGTGTTTTCTTCTTGCTCATTTTGTTCCAGCAACATTTCATTCGATACAGTTAGTTGTGTGAATAAATTAGAATTATCTTTTGAATAAAAAGTAATTTCTTTTACAGGTCTTTTATCATATAAAATCTTTAAGATTTTGTTGACAGTTTCACTCATGATGATATTTTCTTGGAATGAAATGTTGCTTGTATAAGTCTCTCTCTCTTGGATTTCTAGGTCTAAGTCATTTTTAATAAGTTCCAAAATGGCACATGCAATGATGTCAGCATATTCCTTAAGATAAGCTGGTGATAAATGAATTGTTGATCCAAGTTTTTCTCTGTAGCTAGAATAAGTGAGCTCTTGGTTGAACATAGTTTCAGTTGATATTTTAAGGATATTTACATTTGATTCTACTTGACTTGACTCATGAATGATTCTGTTACCTTGCTTACTGTTTTCCAATTCTGAGCTAACAGAACTTTCTTTAGACAGGAAAGCAAGAGTAATTAGTGAATCTATTCTTTCTGTAGCAAATGATTCTAGGCGATCAAAAATAATTTTGGTAATAAAATTAGCATTTTCTTCATATGGGTCAGTAACAGATTTCTTGGTGTTTTGTCTCTCTACTACACTTAACTTATTATTATCTGCATAAACTGGTTTTAGATTTCTTGAAGTTGGAAAACACTCAATTTTTCTTTCACTTGTTGATCCCATAAGAGGAGATTGCTGACACTCTGCAAATGGAAACGTATCACAAAATGTCAAGGGTAATCTTGCAGAAGTAGGGTCCTTTGCATGTATACTAAGCATGACAGCAGAATTGAGATTATGAAGAACGATATCAACTACATCGTTGGATATCAAAATGACATCAGATTTAGGAACAGAAAGTTTTGGATTAGCTTTATCTGTACTCTCAATGAACATTTTAGAATTTGCTCTGGGATGTTTACCAGCTATGCTACATGTTAACGTGGGTGCAGCAAATGAGAGATTGTTCTGATACAATGTTTTTTCATAAATATCACATAATATACCTTCGACAGTATCTTGTATTTGAATTTGAAGTACTTTTCGATATTCAGTCTTATTAAATAGCTTTCCAATAATACCTTCTTGATGACTGCAATCAATCTCTTTGTCATAATTGTTTATGTCACATTTGCCTTTAGATGATACAATATCTAACACCGTGTTAACAACATGACTTGCAATACTTTCAGAAACCACAATGTTATGAGTTAAGAAAGGACTTTCTCTTTCACTATCTAACTCATGTTTGATTCCTTGTAAAATTTTTCTAGCCACTTCTGTTGCATATGTATTTAATTTATTCAAAGAGAGTTGAGACATTGAATTGATCTTTTCTGATTTTATATGATTTGCTGGGCAAAAGGAAAATGGACCATCAGAATACAGATCTTTAACTGATAATGCTTCATTTAATGCGGTCTTATCTGGTTGAATAGGTAAAGGTAATGGAAGTGTGAAGCTGATTTGGGGACAAAAGAGAGAATTTACTTTGGAAGTAGCAAAAGTTTCTAAATTTGTTAATACTGCCTGTACAATATCTTTAACTACATTTACTTTGCCCTGTTCATTAATGTTGAATCTTGATTCTAAAGTACATGGATTCTTGTCCAGCACTGAAATAGAGGACTCTCTCCCATAGATATGTTCATGAAAAGAAACATTTGTTGAAAAGGTGATGGTTTTGTATCTGTTTTTATTTGCATTTCTTTCTGTCATGGCAGCTGAATAAAGTTTATGAAATACAGTTTTAACAATGTCATCCACTACTACTGTTACATCTGCTTCAGACACTAAAGGATCCATTGTTTTGTCTATAAATTGATCAGAAGACTGAGCAACTCGTTCATCTACATTTTGAGGAAAGCCACTTAGATGAGAGAGAGAAAGTACATTTAACTGATTGACCAACACATTTTGAAAAATTTCATTCAAAATGTTTCGTATAATGGGAATGATTGGTGATTTCTGTGGTTCTTTGAGTTGCACTTCAATTCTGTTTAAGGTTCTTTCTAGAACCCAAGCTTTAAAGCCACATTTAAGAGAATCTGATTTAGTTTCTTCTGTTAGTGATGTTTTTAACCCCATTAATTCTTTTTCTGTATTTTTATCATCTTCCTGAAATGAATCTGATTCAGCTCCGCCAGGAAGGTGATTTCCATAGGTTGGTTTATAGTGGAAAGTTTCAGTTCCTCTCTCTTCTGATTCCGTATCATTAAACATATCTGCAGATACTGCATCTAATATTAAGTTGACTACATTCTTAAGCATTTGTTTCTCATGTGGTGGGGATTTTATATCTGTCCTCAAATCTGACAAGCTGGCATTTAATTCTGCCTGAATAGCTTTCAAAATAGTACTTGATATTTTCTTCGCATGTACATATAAAGTAGACTGCAATAGTTTTTCTTCATTTGTGTCTGTGAAAACATTGGTACTTTCACATCCCAAGTCCATCTTACTGCTTTTTTTATTTTCATCCATAGAACCCAAAGTTTCTAAATTTCCATTGGCAAAGCCTTCCAGTTTAGCAAAAACCACATTAAGAATATCTGACGCCAATAATTTAAGTTTATTTGTATGCCTTTCTTTCATGTCCTCTGTTTTGGAAGACACAGGAGCAATAGTCTTTGCCTTGATTTTTGTCTCCTCTTTATCACTTTCTGGAATCATCCTGGAAACTATGCTGGAAATCATGTCAGTACATTTGGCCATCCCCTCAATAATGGAAGCAAATGACAGATTGTCAATACCTAGAGATTCTGAGGAAACTTTACATCCAGAATCTGCAAAACTGGTATCCATGTCAACATTACACAGTCTTGCAAGTATATATTCCAAAATTGTTTTGGAAATGAGCTGAATATTAGACTGCAAGTCAGAAGATGTTGGCTGGCTCTGTTTCATCCTGTCTCTGCTCAGTTTACTACAAAATGGTTGAGAGTGAGAATGGGCTCCTATGAGGTTCCATAACATTTCAAGTAGTGCTTCCCCAATACTATCTAACACCTTCAAACTGGCATTCTCTTTGCAAACTTTTCCATTAGAGATAGTATGGAGAGCACAGGGAGTAGCCAGATATTTGTGAAAAGATTTTTTATCTTGCCTACTTGGCAAAATATTTTGTTTATCAAAGCTGTCAGATTTATATGAAGTTGCAGGCTTTGACATGTCTGAAGGGAGTGAAATATTACTTTGATCGGAGTGTCCACTTGATAACATCTCACAAATACAACTTAATAAGGGGGATGCCATAATGTCATCATCAGAGTTTGAGAGAGGAGATTCTAATTCATCATTGTCAGCAAAAAATCCTTTATTTTGAAGGCATTTGCTATGGTCTCTCTCCCTAAGCCTTACATTTTTCTTACTGAGTTCCAGTTCATTCTGGATAGCATGCAAAACAATATTTACCACTTTAGCTGTGTAAGTGCTAAGTTGATTTTGGAATGAAGATTGCTGTGCAGGTGAACCTTTGAAGCACATTTGCAATTTTGGGCAAAGGAATGATTTCAAACTTTCAAAAACTGTATTAACTATCTTATTATTAATGTTATCTATAGGTTCAGGTTCACTTTCTTCAAGTTTTGATGGGGAAGGCTTTGAAGAATCTGAATTGAGTGAAGATAAATATTTCATTTTCTTTTCACTCTCAAACCATATATTTAATGGCTTTTTATTTGGGTCTCCTTTGTGGGGAGTTTCAGAACTTTCTAGAGAACTTTGATGAACTGATGGTAAAATGGAACTTTTGGTGGTATTGGGAAAGCAGCTTGATGCCCTATGAAGTATATTTAACACAGCTTCTGTTATTTCTTGAGCCACTGTACTGACTTCTGACACAGAGAACATCTGGTCTGCCCATTCTTCATCTGATAGACCTAGAGATTTTTCTGAAATAAAAATGGGAGCTGGTTTGCTAGTTTTACTGTCTAAGGCACTAGGAGGAACAGAAGAGAAGTCCTTGAGCAATTCTGTTAAAATACTTTTAACTATGTTTTCTGAAGCCTTTTGTATTTGATGCTTTTGTTCCTGGTTGAAAATCAAATTATCATTATTTAAACAGGCTCTTTCCTTCAAAACTGGTTTATTACTTAAAGATGGTAGCTCAGTTTTTAATCCTGCATCAAGAAATGCAGGTTTGCTTCGAGAAGGAAGTTTTGTTGGTAGTTTTGTATTTCTTTTATATTCAAAACTAGTGTTTCCTCTGGTAAGCCAATTTTCAGGAATCTGTGGTGATTTCGCTGTTTCGTCATTGAAAGATGAATCAAGCACACTTTTTACAATTTTTTCAATTTCTTCATTATCATCTTCAGAATAAAGGACCATGCCAGGAACATTAACAGGAGGCAATGGTCTTCCAGATGTAGGACTATGAGATAACTTAGCACTAGTGAGTCTGTACTTCTCATCAGGGTCAGAGAGTTTTCTCAGTCTAGAGTGTTTACATTTTTGAGCCTCTGCCTTTTCTGGCTTCTTATGGAGTTGGGTGAAGAGATCATCCAGAAATTGAAGGAGTATCACTGTTTCCTCAGAAGCAATAAGCTTCTCATTATTAAGTTCAGTTTGTACATACCCTAGTATTGTGTTGACTGCTTCCTCTATATAGCCAACCAAAGAGGACTGTGAAAAAATACTTGATATTAAATTTTTAATTTTCTCTTTAGCAATTAAAGTATCTGCATCAGGTTTAGGACTACATCTATTTTTGTCAGTTCTCTTAAGGTGCATGCGTGTTGGGTCTGTCATAAGTTTCTGATAGGAAAATTTTGTTGCATCGTCAAGATGAGGAATGTTATTTTGCTTAGAAGATGTAAGAGTCATTAGCTTCTCTAAAATGGCATGCACCATATCCTCAGCAATATCACACATGGGTTCTGCAGTAGGAGGCACTGAAGCTTTCAAAGGTTTCCCAATTGATGAAGTGAGATTTTCTCCAGTGGGTGTTAAGCTTGGTTTAATGTCGACTGACGAATCTTCTTGTGAATACAGCTCAACACATTTTTTCTCAACTGCACACTGTAGTTTTTCAAGCATATTATCTACGATCTCTGAAGCTGCCGAGGCTATATCAACATTGGAGAGCATATCTCCTTTTTCAGGCTCACCTTGATCAACAAAAACTTCAGCAGTAACATAAGAAAGAGAGGGAATGGCTTGTGTTAAATCAGACATTATTTCCTGAAAGATGCTTTCTAAAATCAACTCAGTTTCTCCTTTTAAGTGACACTTAAAGTTAACAAAAACATTGTTTAAATTTTTCAGTTCATTCATGGCTTTTGTTTTTTGATCGGAGAGTTGTGAACTCTCTAAGTGATCTGTTTCAGTGGTTGCATCCTTACATTTTTTGGGGCCTGCTTCACATGTTGTTAAAAGGTGACTATCAGATTTACAACTTCTTAGGCTAGGGCATATATATGTCATGCTGGTTTTATTATATTTGAGTTCAGATGTTATAGATTGTTTTTTCAGGTGATATGTTTTCCCAACAACTGTTCTTTCCACATGGGCAGAAGGTGGTTTTAAAGTTGTGGTTGGTTTCTTTACTGATATGTCAACTGCAAATGCACAAGGCTCTCCCTGAAATGTTTTAGTTGTTGCAGTTGTGTAGCTCCTATATGTAAATTCTTCACTGCATGTGCTACAAAAACTCGAGCTATCTGAAGAGAGAATGGAGTCCTCAGACACAGGGCATACATTATTTCTCAACCTTTGTTCATACTTTGTGATGGCTGGGTATAATATACTAGTCACTGTAGCTACAACCCAGGTCATGATATTATGAATTATACTATTAAGTTCTTCAGAAGTTACCTGAAAAAGAGGCAAGCAAGAATGAAAAGAAAAATAGCAACTCTCACACTGTTTTGGAATGGAGTGTAATATTTAACTTTTTATAGCAAACTATTCTTTGCTGGATACCATCATGGATATAAAGAGAACTATAAAGAAGCTAGTTCAAATTTCAGATCAATTTCAAGTTGGCCTTTTCTGTTCTACAATAAAGTATTTTGTTTATTTATAAGTTTTCATTTGATTCACATTCTCTTAGAACTTTTTTTAAACATTCAACTTTTATTTCTGGGGAAAACTGACTTTTTAGCAAAAAGTCAATCCCTGAATTAGCTTAGATAGAATATAAGAACTATTTTACAGTGTACCCCTTATAGTCAATCTAAACTAACTTATTTGTTCTTCCTGCAACTTTTCTTACCTCTTCCTGGTAATACAGTTTTCACTGATACTCTGCTGCATGCAGAATCATTAAAACTGTAAAGCTTAAATTATTTTCTGTTGTCTATCAAATATTTAACAATTAGCCATTATAATTTCCATATATACAGATCACAGGCTCATTCTTGTATTAGGAAATAGGGAAAACATAAGGCTTACTGCCTAGGCTATAAAGAATGGTGCTCAGACATCTAAAGATGTGTCAACTTATATCTGTGACTCATATGTACACTGTTGTAAGCTGATGGTACCTCAATAAAAATAAAGCCACCCCTCCCCACCCCTACCCTCACCCCCCCCCAAAAAAAAGGAAAGAAAAGCAGGACTAAGCTAGAAGTGTCAGGAAAATTCTACCTTGTGAGCTGAAATGAAATCCTAGAGACCATATTTAAAATGACCATATCCTCAGTCATAGTTTAAACTAGACAGGAGTAGAAATACAAGACAGCTGTAGAAATCCATATACCTTACTTAAAATATATTTTGGGCTTACAAAATGTCTTCTTGTCCATAAAAACCTAGTAATCTATTTAAAAACTATCACTACTCCTAAGATATAAAGACTGTAAATATGAGAACTGGCAGCAAAGTCTATACAGCTGGTATTGAGTACTAGGCTAAATAGTAGGATTCCTATAATTTTGCTCTTCACACCCCAAATATTGCTTTAGTGAGCCATGAATTATTCACATTTCAGGCAAATTGAAAGAAAAGTTTACACCTATGCAGCACAGTCTATCTAGACACATTTGAAAATTTGGGGGGGAGCACTTCAGGAAAGTCATTTTATTCTGCTCTAATCCCCAAATCTCCCAATAAGTGTTTCACTTTAGTATAACAATAATGACTAGTGACTTGAAGAACACATTTTGGATGGCAAAATAGGTTTTATAGTACTTTTCTAATCACATCCTTAATCAAACATTTTAAGAATTAAATCTAAATTTTAACAGAAAATAATTGTTCTAAACCACTTGATATATATATAAATGAATACATTTAATATCGATAATTTTCCTTATTGCTAGAATAACACAAACCTATGTTACTCCTCATAGGGAAGGTGTGAAAGTTTCCAACAGAGACTCATGAAAGATATTCCCAAATTTTTCCAAGTCCTATGATATGGTAAATATAACCTACATTTCAATAAGAAATACTCCCTTGAGTCAATATGTATTTGCTATATATTCTCTGAATTGAGTAGGTGTCCATCTGAAATATATGTCAGTAGGTTTTCTTCAGCCCTTGTTATTCTTGCTACAGTATGACAAGCTCCAGAATTGGGCTTTATAAATATAAATGCAAATAACTTTTCTGCTTGTTTCATATCTCAGCTCATAGGAAAACAGGTTGTTTTTTAGGTGACTTTTGTAGGTTGTCTGGTCCTTCCCATGAAAATAGTGAGTCAGACCCAAGCTTCTCAGCTCATCCGTCAAGTTTGCTAAGTCATATCACTTATGGACTTCCCATGATAGAATGAGTTTGTGATATTTGATAGTCCTATGATGATACTGGGGTGTCCGAAAGGACCCCATTCCATCCTCTTGATAATCTTTTGAAGAGACTGTTTTTTTTTTAATTAAAAAGTTTATTTTTACATAATTTTGCACATTTTTTTTTCATCTCAATTGTAATCCCCACGGGTTTCCCATCACCAAATCACCCCTGTGCCACCACCATAGTCCCGTGCATTTCCCTCCCTTCCCCCCCCCGTTTTTGGTCCACTCCACCCCCACAGAATGTCTCTGGTCTATGGTTGTTCATTATTTTTGTTATTTTCTCGCCTGGTCCATTATACTCCTGCTATGAGTGAAACCATCCGGTATTTTTCTTTCTCTTTCTGGCTTATCTCACTAAGCATGATCTTTTCCAGCTCCATCCAAGTTGCTGCAAAAGACATGTGTTTCTGTAGAGACTGTTTTTTGACAGAAATTTTAAACCATTATAGAACAAGAAGAACTAACTAAAAGTAAACTTTAAGAATACAAAAACGAAGAGAAAAACTGACTAATAGTGAATAGGTCACTATTTACTTTTTAACTCACAGGTTTTTTCCTATTATAGCACATTAGAAAATTGCATTATAAAATATGTGATCTTATCAATGAATTTTATAATACATACTTTTTCCTGCAAGTGTCTGTGAGGGAGCTTCTGCTGTCTGTAAAGAAAGGTTGGCTATTAATTATTATTTATGGTATAGAATTTATTTGAATCATCCAAAATTTTAAATCAATGAGTCAGTTTCATCTCTCTATATTAGTGTTTTCCTACAGAAATTCAAAGGGAAGAACAGACTGTATTTTCATTTATCTTCCTCCTCTGCCCCTCTTTCCCTTTGTTACTAGCTTCTGGATTCAGGAATATGATTATTAGTCAGTTATAGAATTATAGCTTCTGCATATCTATTAGGAAATTCAGCTTCTTATTCATACTAGCTATTCCTATTTTCAGGTTCTCTGGAGGGAGAGATTGGCAAGACATCTGACCAGAGCCTTAAATAATTAACTTTTCAAATCCTGTAATGCCAGTCATGTGCTTTCAAACACCAAGAAGGGTATGCGGGTGACCCCTTAATAACTCTTGTGTTAAAATCATGGCTTTATAGCCACACTCAATGCCAATTTATATGTTGCCCTTTTCTGTGCATGTCAATGTTCTATCGTGGGTTCTATTTAGAATTGTTATCTTATACACAGTGAAATAGAAAAAGGTTATGAAATGCAACAAATAATGAAAGTGAGTAATGAAAATGAGAATAACAAAACAGTTAATAAAGCAGGATCTAACATTGTGATGCTGATTTACTTTTATATGTTTTTGCCAACACAGCTCTTTGCTTATCTTTTTTCTACTTTCTTAAAGGAAAATTCTCGCCCCTTTTTTCATATTTTTTTTCTAGGCCTGTACATTACAATATGAAGTTTCTTTCTCAAAATCAAACTTAATTATGAGGAATAGCAAGAAAGAGTCATTTTCTAATTCTTAGAAAAAGAAAACCTCACTGGTTTCAGCTCATAAATTTGTCTTGGTATCAATTTTCCATACTTAGAAGTACCTTCCTACAATGTCAGTGACATGTTTTCTGTCTTTTGACATCATTTATTTTTCCAGACTTTTTTTGGGTGATCCTAGGCACAGTTTTCTATTTTCAGATGTTCTATAAGCTAGTGATTTCAGATTTATCTTTCTGTTCCTTTTACATTAGATAATAGGTAACACATGGAACTCAAGGAGTCTAGTGTATTGATTTAAACCTGCTCTCAATAAGCTTTCTGTCCTAAAAGCATACATATAGAGGCATACAATAAGAAAATACTGAAAATAAAATTAGCCTAGTAACTATAGAGGTTTTAGTGCAGACCATTACAAAACAATTGGTATAACTTGGCAAACAAATCATAATTTCATAGAAATTGTTTTTTTACACCACTGTTTTCTGTACATTTCAGACCTAAAGCTTGCACTGTTTATATAAAAAAAAAAAGTCTGATCTAGGGGTGAACAGAAAGTTTTGTGGTGTTTTGAATTACTCTTTTTACATCTCCTATTCTCCAGCTTCAGGCCATCATTTAAAAAACAAAACAAAACAGTATCTTACAATCACAGCTGAATAGTTTTGTTCACCGTTATGCCTAACACCTAGAATTATGCTTTATGTTTGATATATTTCCATTTAAAATGCCTCCAAGGTCAAGAAAAAGACAAAACTAACAAGCTGGTGCAAATATTAGGCATATGGCAAGGGGGAGGGAAAGAGGGTAAAAATGGGAGTGAAGAACACAAGTGACTATAGTAATATGGTGGTGAAAAAACTATGGGACAACAACAGTGTAAGAAAATAAAGATTTAAAAATGCAAATGTGAGCTACTCTCTAATCCAAAATGAAGACTGTGAAGATAAGTGGTAGGATTTTTGAAGTTGTTCCTAGTTTTTCTGGCTTTGTTTTGTCCTACATGTTGTTGTCAGTTATCTAACACTTACATAATTTGGCCACTGGACCCCCTCCACTATCGAAGTACAAATTTGTAACTATAGTTGGCAGGCAGCAGGCTTCTTGCCTTCTTCACTCTTTGCCACAGTACAAATGTACATGTTGTCTATGTAAAATGCTTAATTTTTGAAATATGTTTACCCCCACTGCTATGATATTTGCTTTTGTTTTTGATATCTTCGCCCAAAATTTCCATGTCTGATTTAGAAGCTTTCTATATATGTCTTATGCATAATCATTAAATAAAACTGATCACTTGAGGGTAGTGAGCTATAGAAAGAAGATGTTAGTGTATACTGATTTTTCCATAGTGAAGACTTAAGAAATATTGGCATTAAAGCAGAACAAGAGGGGTGTGACATGTCTATTGTGGGTAGAGCTGGACCAGAAAGTGGTGGTTACTATATTTTGGTTTTCTTATAATGTGAAGTTAGGTTGAGTAGGTATAACTGAAAATAATTTGAGTCAAATATTTTATTTTATATATATTTTACATCATGCCTTCTTCTTTGTACAGTGTTTGCTGTCTCCTCTCAGATGTAGTCCTCATAAAATTCCCACCACCAATTCACCCATACATCATCACCACAGTCCCTTGTGTTCTTTCCTCCCCTGTTTATTCAAAAGTAATTTTGAAAAGAGAGGTGGAGAAGTCCCAAGTCATTCAGGGAGTTAAGTCATTTTAGCTGAGCTGAGATTTTTAGTTGAAAGATTCAAGTGACTGTACTTTTGTAATTTGGGGTAGCCAGGAGCGGGGAATCAAGAGGCATAAATTTGTTAGAGTACTTTGTGGTCTACGAATCATCACTAAATCAGACAAGTGATATCTGTCACTTCTAATGAAGCTTTATTTGAATATGTTAGCACCACATAACTCAAATTTATACAACTACTTTACCTAAAAATTTTCATAGGTATCAGGTTTCTATTTTTAAAGTCTATTAACCTTGATTTGCAACCATGTATTTTCAGAAAATGATAAGTTTGGGTCCAAATTATAGCTTTTCTTCTTAATCTCAAGTTGAGAAAAGAATACATAAATATCAATAGGATAGGTGAAACCAAGATTTGAAGAATAAAAAGCCTTCAAGGGCCTCTCTGGTGGCATGAGTGGTTATGTCTCAGCACTATGAAGCTATTATGTCTCAGCACTATGAAACTATCCACAGCCACTGCAGCATGAGTTGATCCTCCCAGAAGGAGCTAACCCTCATGGTGTAGCGTGTAGCAGACCTCTCCTGTCTCACCTTCCCACTACTCCCCTCTGCAGTGTATTTTAATGATTTTCCCTATTCTGTTTCCCACTGTGTCTGTGGTGAATCGTCTCACCCCTGCATCTCACCCCAATTTTTGTATGCATAAATAACATTCTTTTTAAAAAGGAAAGCTTTCATGCTGTCAAAAATTCTTCTCCAAAGCCCTGAAATTTCCATAATTAAAATTTTTTTGTGGCCCATCCTGGTGGCGCAGTGGGTTAAAGAGCAGCACTAAGAAATCGAAAGCCACTTCCACATGAGTTCGATCCCTGCCTGCCCCGGAGGTGACCACAGGGCGCGGCAGACCTTTTCTGATCCGCCGCTGCTCCCCTCAGCAGTGTACTTCGTTGATCTGCCTGTTCTGCTCCCCACTCTGTCTCTGGTGAAGCCTCTTGCCACCCCTGACTGGGGTACAGCCTCTGGCCTGTACCCCAGTTCTGTATGAATAAATAAATAAATCTTTAAAAAATTTTTTTGTTTTGTTTTGGATTTCATTGTAGATGTCCTTTAAAAAAGGAATAACTAGGTCATTAATACAGTAAACTGCCATTAAACTAAGAAGTGGTCGATGTTTCAATGGGAAAAAAAGCAAAGAGGCAAGTTCAGAATGTGGAAAACTACCTGAAGAGGAGAGGTGATGTAGGACACTTTTGAAAGTGGCATAAACTTTCTAAATTCAAGGCAAGTATAAAATCCAGTGGGGACAAAGAAATAGAGGAGGAAGAGGATGAGAAAGGACATCTCCTTTGTCTACTGTATAATTTAATCTTAACACTAAGAGATTACAAAAGGTCAAATTTTCATGAAAGCCAGTAGAACTACAAGACAAGGAGAGTTTCATATAATAATTTGCTTTGGAATCACATTAAGATAATTGTTTAAATATTAATTGATAATTACACACTCATTTTCTTAGATACTTACGTATTTGAGAAAGCACGAGAAGGAAAAATACCCTGGGCTGTGGTCTGAGTCTGAGATTCTATATCACCGAAGGAAAATTATAATTAGTTTGTTCTACCTGAATGACTTGTAAAACTATCATTAATACCTTAGAGCAGATGTTTATTCTCTGCTGTCACTGTCTCTTCACAATGAGATTCAAAATCTTTAGCAAGACCTAAAATGTAATATACCTCCTGTTGTTCATACCTTGCCCTCCAGGTGTATTGGCGTAATCTTCCATATGTATTTTATGGTCCAGAGATACAGAATAATTTATTATTTTCCTAAAGGTATTGTGTTTTCCATTTCCATGGGCCTTTGATTTTGCTATTTCCTTGTTTGAAACACCCTGTCCACTCTTTTATCTTCTCATTTTTTAGGTCTCCCTCAGTTTTTGTTAGCTCCTCTAGAAAGCCTTCCTTGAAACTTCTCTAAATAAATAATCTACAACATACTGTTTTCCTGTAAAACTCATTACTCTACATCATAATTAAATATTTACACTTTTGCACTGTGACATAAATTTACTACTATATTGTTAGCACTTCATTAGTAATAAAGCATTTGTTGAATATATTATTATTATGATAACTTTATTTACTGATTTGTTCTTAATCTCTTCCTAATGAATTATTTTCAAACTTGCTTTGTATGTAATCTAGCAAGATTTCATTTCTGGATTTTAGTAAATATTCCAGATGCAAGTGTATTTATGTACAATATCTATGTAGAAATATCAGAGTGGTGTGTATTATGAAAATATACAAGTGAATAAATATTAAACATTTGGACAAAAAGAATAACTTGGTTACAGAAAGTAATGTTAATAATAAGAGCCAGTTCAAAGTTAAGTTTAAATGTTAATTTTTGTTTCTTCCTATAAACCAACAGGTACCAATAATGTGTTTGAGGTCCTATTTGTAAAAATATTTATTTATAAAAATGGTAGCAAATGGTAATGTAGAAAAAATATTAAGCATAAAGCCAACCAAGGAACTAGAACATCTGGTTAACATTTAATGTTCAGTAATAGTATCCAATGAGAGTACTTCACTTTAAAGGTATTGATTGTCCCAAAATTAAATGAGAAATACCTCACCTACTTTATGCTCAAGTATAGCCCCTAGGTAGATGTAGGCATTGTTTAATCCATATTCCCTGCCTATCTCTATTTTCTGCATCGTAATTTTTTCATATAAGTTTGTGGTTATTGACATGATTATCTCCTCACTATCTTACATCAGCCCTGGGTAAGAACTATGGGTTTTTTACTTAATATTTAGCACCATACCTGGCATGAAGCTGGAGCATAATAAATAGATTGCATGATTTACTCAATAGCTATTACTGGTGCTTACCTGTTTCACAGATGTAGCTTGATTTCTTGTTTGACTTTTCATTCCAATCACCATTTGTCTCCTACATAATTCAAGCAACAACAACAAAAAAAAAAAGGATTGTTTTCTCCAAGATTTTAAGGTCAACTGTTATTTATATATATTGCAAAATACAGAAATCTAAGATTTTGAGAATTCTCTTAAATATCAATGTCTTTATGCAATACACCATCCTACAGTGTTTATATTATATATATATTATTCATAGAATTCAAAAGCTTGTAGTTATATAAAAGGACCGCCCAAACATTTGGTGGTTTGCAAGGTTTTGTGGGACTCAGCATATGGTTAAACTCATATCCAACATTTGTTATAGTAAGAGGATATGCTATAGGATAAGTAATAAGAAGAGACATATGCTGACTCTGGGAAAAATCATAATGCACAGTCTTCCTGTGTCTCCCCTTCCTGTAAGAGGACACACTTGAGGATGCTCTTTTTTTTTTCTGTAAAAAAAATTCAGTACCATATGTGCAATGTTTCTCCCTGGGAAGGTTCATTAAAAACTCAACTTGGACCCTCCGTGGTGGTGCAGTGGGTTAAAGCACAGAGCTAAGAAGCTAAAGTACTTCAGCATGAGTTCCACACCTGCCCTGGAGGTGACCCACATGGCACACAGACCTCTCCTGACCTGCCCACTGCACCCCTCAGTAGTGTACTTCAGTTGATCTGCCTGTTCTGCTTCCCACTCTTTCTCTGGTGAATCCTCTCACCACCCCTGCACCTCTGACCTGTACTCCAGTTCTGTATGCATAAATAAATCTTTAAAAAAAAAAACAACTCAACACTTAAGGATATTATTGAAGGATGGTCATGAAAATATCTTCTGCTTTTGTGCATACTGAAACTCCAAATTCCTCAAAATAAATCAGATGTTCAGTTAAAAAAAAAAAAGCATTGTTAGCAGTGTCTAGCCATAACTGGAAGAAAATGTAATCTTTGCTTGTGACTTTCCAACATTACTGGTAAAAGGGTAAGAGGGAAGATAGTATGACTGTCTTTGAGCAATCCATCAGTATTAGTCAGAGTAAAGTGAATTTGTTTCTTCCTTTGAAGGTTGAGGTGCACTGGGAAACACCATGCTATAGTTTTAACTATGTAAGAAGACTTCATATCTAGGGATATGAATCTATTAAAATATGATGAATTTCAGAGAATCCAACTATTTTGTATGGTCACATCATAAATGAATTTCTTTATACCAATGATGATCATAAGATTATACTTCAATAATTCATTTGCAAAAGAATGAGGCAAAAGAAATATGGTACAAAAGAAATATTACATACCTCATCTTTTGGAGGATCCAAATAAGATTGTGAAGATCTGTGAAAATTTCTTGTGGGTGAAATATGAGTTGTTGTTACATTTTGTGCTGCGACTTCTGTAATGCATACAGAAATAAGAAATTCCTTTAAATAAAAGATACTTTATCTGTAACAATGGTGATTGTTAATGAATATAATTAATTTATTGTTCTTCCTGTTGAACTGCCCCAATCACTAATTTATAACAGTGATTTATTTAAGGTATATCCAAGAATAATAAGATCTTTTTTGGATGTTTACTATGTCCAAATTTCCAGTGGCTCACCATTACCTTCAAAAACAACTCTTGAAACCTTAATTTGTGATCTTAATTTATGTAATATTATGCCAGATTAATCCCTCTAACTAAACAGAATCCAATGCCAGAATTAACTATTTGCATTTCATTTAATACTCAATGAAATACTAATTGCAGTTTAAATAAAGGAAGAGCCAAAAATTGTGTTTTAGGATAATTGCTGTTAGGTATGGTTTAGGGATGAAGGATTAAAAGGAATAAGAAGAGGCTGGAGGAAGTTATTGGAATGGTCAAGGATGGAGGTAACAAGAGCTAGAATTGTAGGGATGGAAAAGAGGAGAAGGAAGAGAAATGTAAGAGCCAGATTAGACAGAAAGAAGCAATTTGTGGGATGTAAAATATAAGAAAGAGGAGGCTTCTTGTGCCTGAGTGAAGATAGAAAAAACAAGATGATGATGAACTTGATTTTGTATTGCATTTTAAGTTGCCTCCGTTATTTAGTAATTTTCTGTGTAAGTATGTAAAATATGAATAAGAATGTTTTTACCATTTTACAGCAATCTATCAAGCTACAGAAAAAATTAACCATTGTATATTATACTTAAAGAAGAGGTAGAAAACAGGAAATATTTTGTGGGAAAGGGTGACATGACTATGGGAACCTACCTGGTGACAGTTTTCTGCCCAGGTTCTACTGAATGACTGTGTGCCTGTAACTTACTCTGCCTTTCATTTATAAACAGGTACAGCAGGGACCCTAACTCTCCCTTATTTGGCAAAAGTTATACTCATTAATCAATCATTCAAATAAATGGGTTTAAGCATTACATAAATATTCATAAACAAGTTTATAATATATTTTATATTTTAAAGTGACTGTAATTTGTATAGTTAAGTTAAACAAAGAACTTGAAAAACTATGATGAAACCATAATTATATACATAAAAATAATAAGAGCTATGAATCCTTTTCCTTATCTTACCTCTATCATCACTAATTTTTTTAGTATTCATTCCATCTCTCTTTTTCACACATTAAAAGAAAAAAAAATGATTAGTAACTCCACTTCTAAAGGGTAGTTTCAATTAATCAAATTAATAGTTACCCACCCTTTCCCATGTAAGCCCTGTCATGAAAATTGTCCTAAGCACAAAATGTATTACCAACTTTCTAGGATACTTCAAAAGACCTTTTAAGTTTTTAAATTTAACTAGTTCAAAAATGAATTTAATTTGTAACAATGCACAAACTTGTTCATTTTCCATTATTCCATATTTTGTTTAATGACATAGTAATTTATTTAATATTAGGTCTAAAATATTTAGTCATTTAATTTGTTTCAGGACACAATAATCCAACTTAATACAAGCCTTCCCATCTGTGTTGATCTTCCCCAATAGACAGAGAAACCTCAAGAGGAGTAATTGTGTGTTATTCATATTTGTAACTGATGTAACCCAGTTTTCTTCTTTTTCTTGTCTCCTGGATAACTCTAGGGCTTGACCAACAGTAAATGTTTAATAAATATTTGCATTTGTTATGGTTATGATTGTTAAATATTTGTTGGGGGTTAGAGTCTGCTAAATTGCCTAATGAGTTCAGCATTTTTAGGCAAAGGAGTTGGGTCTCATGAAGAGATCCTAATAACCTTAACCAATTAATATCATACTAGTGAAGGACATAGTTCTTAGATGTGAAAGTTAACTAGATCCTTTAATAAACACCATCCAAAGTTTGAGATATAATTTTATACCTTTTGTTCAGTATCATTATCTTGTATATTTAAGTGATTAACAATTGAGTTTGCTCTAGCAATATTCTTTAAACTACTTCGAGATCGATAAATGCCATTGACTGTAGACCCTAAAAGTAAATGAAAAGCAGATATCATGATTTTAAAATCAACTTATTGAAATAGTGAGTATAACTGAAATACAATAAACTTTATTTTTTAAATTGGGTGGTTTTATAAATTTTTTAAAAAGATTTATTTATTTATGCTTACAGAACTGGAGTACAGGCCAGAGATTTGGTGGGTGAGAGGATTCACCAGAGACAGACTGGGAAGCAGAACAGGCAGATGGATGAAGTACACTGCTGAGGATAGCAGCGGGTGGGTCAGAAGAGGGCTACCATGCCATGTGGGTCAGCTCCCTGGCCAGGGATTGAACTTGTGCTGCTGTGGCTTCATAGAGCTTCATAATGTGGTGCATAGTGCCACCAGGGAGAGCCCGGTTTTATAAATTTTTATGTGTCTCAATTATGAAAGTATCAATGAAGTTGAAAAATTATTTCCCAAACTCTTGAACGTTTTCTCATCTCTCTCATCTATGTAAAACATTTTAATTCCATCCTTTGACAACAGTGCTCTATATTTCTCACACAAGTTTACTGTGAATTTTTAGATTTATATATGGATGAAATAATATTGTATGTATTATTCTTTGACCTGGCTTCTTGTATGTTTTACTAATTTGTTCATTTTTATTTTTGAGAAATACTCATTCTATGGATGTCATTTATTTTTAATCCACTCACCTATTACATGGGTTGTGTCCAGTGTAAGCCACTTATGAATAATATTTTATAAGCTTTCATACACAAGTCTTTCTGGAGACAAAATTTTTAATTTTTATTGGGTAAGTCTATTGGTAATTATCTGTGAATGACTGTGTTGTATGGAATATATATGTTTAACTTTGAAGAAGCTATTTTCCTAAGTAGTTCTATTTTTGACATACAATTTAGCAATAAGTGAGTGTTCAATTCTTCTACTTCCTTGTTAACACTTAGCAGGGAGAAGAAACTAAATAATGAATATCAAACTGAAAACCAGAGAAATATAACAAGATATAAAATGAATTATCTGGCTCATTGGGTTCAATAAAAGTGATAAGCTAGACTGATTAGATGACACCAATTTCCAACATTAGGAAAATAAAAGGCACAAAAGGGTCTACAGATAAAATGATAATAATAATGATAGTACTAATAATAATAAAAAAGAGGCATTATAAAAATACATGACAATAAATTAAAAAAAAACTTATAAGCCAATGTCTAGTTCTTGAAAAACAAACTACAAATAACACTTTTATGAACAGATATTAAAAATGTCATTAACTATTAAATAATTTGGATATGTAGTTACATACTGAAACAAGATCATAAACAGAGCTTATAGGGAATTCAAGGCTGTGAATGCTGCTTGGAGAGTTGCTAGCTACAAAATTTGGGGCAAACTTCCCATCCGAATGTAAAGGCTGTGTCTGTGTGACACAGTATAGAGTTTATACTCAGGAATCAATGATTAAAGAGAAACTATTTTGATTATGATGAACGAGAAAGAGTGGTTCTTCTAATAATACATAATATCTTGTGATGTCACCATTAAACATTTTTTTTTTTTTAATTCACAGATCATATAGAAATCATCACATGCCAGTCAGATTGGGGAGCAGATATAACACTGTCCCCTGGCCAAAATATGTATCAATATGGTTTTGGAATTCATTTTTTTTTTAAAGATTTATTTGTGCATACAGAACTGGGGTGCAGGCCAGAGGCGCAGGGGTGTTGAGAGGCTTCACCAGAGACAGAGTGGGGAGCAGAACAGACAGATCGACGAAGAACACTGCTGAGGGGAGCAGCAGGCGGGCCAAGAGAGGTCTGCCACACCATGTGGTCACCTCCGGGGCAGGCGGGAATCGAACTCATGCGGAAGCAGCTCTAGATTCTCAGTGCTATGCTTTAACCTGCTGCGCCACCAGGGAAGGCCGGAATTCATTTTTTAATGGAATGTGTCTCCCACTATGCTTAGTTACATTTATAGATCTAGTCTCTGGGCAATTTCCAAGATACACAATTTCCTGCAAGGCTTAAAATGACATTTTCTATTTACCATCCTTACCTCCAAGACCACTGAGATTTTTTTGATATCAGTAAGACTGCTTTAGGATTCATTAAACACTAGAGTTTGAAAGATTGCTCTACCTTAAATAATGCTTTAAAAATTGAGACTCTAGTTTTATTGTCTACATGGAGTAGATACAGGGTAATGTCATCACAATTTTATGAGTGTTAGTAACTCTTTGATATGTTATAAAGACCCTTTTAAAAATGGAGCCCATGAAACTTAATAGTGAATTAACTCAATTGCAGAGGTCTTGCAGGTGAAGGATGATCAGTTAAGACAAACTTTTCTCTTTCCATGTTTCTGAGTCTTGAGACTAGTCAAATCACAGTGGAAGAAAGTTTTTGGACATTTTTAATATTTTAACTTTGAAGGACAAATATCTAACTTTTATATTTTAATTTTTCACCTGGAAATTTAAAATGAGAGGTGGTATGTATAAACTGTTTAATTTTGAATGGTCTTACATTTATGGTAGTGCTTTATATGGTTATTTGGATTCCTGGTCTAATCCAGTAAACTCTAAAAGACAATGTACAATGACAAAGTATTAGATAAATAAAATGGTGTTTTGATAGGCCTCATGATGGATTTGGAGTTAATGTACTTAATTTATGATCCATTTCAGCGTTTTCTAAAATCATTGTAAATATTACAAAGTAGCTTGCAGTTTGCCGTTTCATGTACTGTTCCATTTAACATCAATATGATTTTCATTTACTTTTTTTTCTTAAATGACGACATAACAGTAAGCTCAAAATGCCCATTAACTAGATATCAACTTCTGAAAGAGAGGCTGACTCATTATTGGGAAAAAAATCATTCTAAATCAGTCATTTGATAGTAAAAAACAGGATTTATCAGTATAACAAAGTTCAGTATTTTCCCAATTTACTATTTAGTATTTCTTATCAATAAATTTAATTACCATATATTTCTTTACTTGGTTTCTGGTCATCATAAAGTAAATTTCCATCATCATGTATCTTCTTTTTCTTCTTTGGAGAAGCTTAAAGAAGTATAATAAAGCAGTTTATGTTTAATATTAGTGATGACAAAAAGTACCCTCGATAGAATATATTTTCAGTTTTCAAGAGGAAATGGTAATTTATATATGGGATTGTGAACAGGTATTGTAGAAAATAGAGAGCTATAGAATGGGAGGGACTATAACTACCCTAGAAATGGTATCTTTTCAAGTTAAAAGATAGATGCTAGGAGGGATAGAATTTCCTTCAGGCATACATGTAGTGTATACACTTTTGATAGTATATCCATTTATATTATTATACATTATGTAAATGCATGCAAATTATAAATAAATATAATATATATTATTCTATATTTATTGTATCTGTTATAGCACTTTGTATGTATATCTACCAAATTATACCATTAGCATTTTGGAATAATTTCTATATTTCAAGATGTTTTACAAATACCCATTCCTCCCAAGCATTAGGTGCTCTGTGAAACACAAAGGTAGAAATTACAATGCTACTGATAATTAAAACAGTGGAAGTAGGCCCTCCCTGGTGGCACAGCGGGTTGGAGCACAGCACTGAGAATCTAAAGCTGCTTCCTCATGAGTTCGATTCCCGCCTGCCCTGGAGGTGACCACATGGCGTGGCAGACCTCTCCTGACCCACCCGCTGCTCCCCTCAGCAGTGTACTTCGTCGATCTGCCTGTTCTGCTCCCCGCTCTGTATCTGGTGAAGCCTCTCACCGCCCCTGAGCCTCTGGCCTGTACCCCAGTTCTGTATGAATAAATAAATAAATCTTAAAAAAAAAAACAGTGGAAGTATGTAATAAATAAGATGCTACAAAGTATTATAGGGCATGTAAAGAAGGATTTTCAATTATGATTTTTAAGAGAGATTATTTCATATATGGAACTTGTAAAACTGTAGAATTTGGATAGGTGTAGACAGAAGTACATCCTTTCAAGCTGAGAAAACTGACATAGAGGCACAGGATAAGGGAAAATAATTTTTGTTTTAGGAATCATCAGTTTGCTCATTTGACTGGACTAATAAAATAAATTGATTGTTTACTATGGGTAAGAGCTTTTGTTCTCTATAGGAATTATTTAAAAATATTAATTTTGTTTTCCAATCACAAAACTGTGACTGAAATAGGTAAAAGTGAATTCAGACCTTAGATGTTTGGCTTTACAGTCTGTCATCCTTAGGTTATGGCTACTTTCTTCAATGAGGTGGCATGAAATGAAGTCTAAAGTTAGGGAAGATGTGGTGAATAGTCGCCTAAGAAGTCCAAACTTCATTTAGGAGGTAATGGGGGACCTTTAAGTCTTGGGCCAAGAGAAGAAAACATGATAATAAATATTTTAGTGTAACTAGGTGCCAGTATATAAATGGATTTGAGGTAGGTAAAAATATACAATGAATTTTAGTTATTAATGTACTAAAGTGACATGAGGTGGTCTCACCTACAGGTGGGATTGATATGATGCTAGGGTAATAAATACACAGAAAATGACCACATTCTTTACTGATACTATGTAGTCATAGATAACTGAAATAATCTACAATTTTGTATTCTTTTCATAAAATTTTAATTAGTATTATTGAATAAACACCACTATAAATTTATAATGCAATAAATTAAAGGAATCTGATAGAGACTGAGCATAGCGAAATAGTGACTTGGTGTTCCTCCTTTAAACTTTCTGTATTTTCTTATTTTTTCTTCTTTACTTGCTTTTCTACCTTTAACCTTGTGTTCTTCCACATGTTTTATTCTGAAATTAGCTATTTTTTTGAAACCCAGTTGGTATACAATAATAATTATCTTAGATACAAATTATTTTTTCAAGATTCAGTAGTAGAAACAACATTTTAAATAGAGGAAGTTTGTTAAAACTATTGTTTAGGTAAAACTGTCTGCTAAATCACATGATAACTTTATTGTAGTCATTTAAAATTTTACATATGTGTCTACTTTTCAACTTGAACTGTAACAGTGAAATTCTGAGAACTGTGCCTGGTACAAAAGCAAGTAGGAAGTCTAATCAAACAGAATTCCACAAATGCACCTTAAAAAATACATAGAAAAGCACTTTCTACACAGATACATCATCTTTTAAATGTTCTCACATCCAGGATATGCACCATCTTGTCCTCTGTGATCAAATGCAGCTTTTTCTGTCTCTTCTTTTTTAAAGCCATTTCCTTGCATTTTTTGTAAATGATAAGCCATTTTTTTCTCTAGAAGAGCTTGTTTCTAAAAGTTTAAAGAAAATATATTGGTTAACAGCAATTTGTTGTTTAGGAATATAAAATAAATATTAAAATGTGCCCAACCATATGAAATGGATAGCTAGTACTGTCTTAAGACTTTTAAGATGATACTGAATACAAATTTGAGAGGCTGGTAAGTGATAAATTATATTTGAGGTTAAGCATGAAGATTAAATTTAACACTTAACTGCAATTTATTTCATTTCATAACTTTGGGGAATTTCTCCAGTTTTATATCAGAGAGGATTACTTAATATGCAGCTCTCCAGCTTGGTTTAGGTAATTTATAATACAGCCATCTTCAACCGGAGAATTCCTAGCTGACTTGGCCAAATTTAAGTAACAACATAACACATGAAATGCGGCTTCCCTTTGCTAATCTCTAGGCTAATACTGATTCTGCATATACCAAGAGAAAGACAACATCACAGAGAAAGAGCCTAAGAGCTTTCACTAAAGTTTCCAACAGGAGAATTGATCAATATATGAGTATGGCAAAACTACCAAAAATGTGAAAGAAAATGTTATCCTAAAGGCTTAGGGGGAAAAAAATGTAACTGCATCTCATGTAATTATGAGGCACAGAAGAGACATGGAAGATATAAAAGTAATCAGGACAAATTTTTTAACATTACAATAGGCACTGCAGAAAAAAAGACTAATGTCTATTCAGGAACAACGTTTTTTTTTTATTACAAAGTTTATTTTTACATCATTTTGCACATTATTTTTTTCCATCTCGATTGTAATCCCCGCGGGTTTCCCATCACCAAATCACCCCTGTGCCACCACCATAATCCCGTGCATTTTTGATCCCATTCCCCACTCCACCCCCACAGAATGTCTCTGGTATATGGTTGTTCATTATTTTTGTTATTTTCTCGCCTGGTCCATTATACTCCTGCTATGCGTGAAACCATCCACTATTTTTCTTTCTCTTTCTGGCTTATCTCACTAAGCATGATCTTTTCCAGCTCCATCCAAGTTGCTGCAAAAGACTTGTGTTTCTCTTTTTGGTTGCTGAGTAATATTCCATTGTATATATGTACCACATCTTTCTAATCCAGTCATCTACTTTTGGGCATTTGGGCTGCTTCCATGTTTAGGAACAATGTTTTTAAAGGAAACAATGAAAGGAAAATAATTGTAAAATGAAAAGAATATCAGTGAGATGTGGGACAACATAAAGCAGCTTAAAGTTTTCAGAGAGCAAGAGGGGGAAAAAATTGATAGTTATGTTCACTATCGCTGCTTCTTAAAGATGTTGAATGCAATGTAATATAGTGTAGTGCAGTATATTTAATACTGTATATATATCTATATATATACCTATATATATATATATATTTCTTATCTTATAGTATATAATGTAATTCCAAAGATGTGTTATACTATCCAGCTATAAAACACATGAAATCTACCACTTACTTACCACAAATGGATGCAAATGGATGGACCTAGAGGATTATACTTAATAAAATTATACTTAATCAAAGTAGACAGAAAAACAGTATTATTTCACTCATTTGGTAAACCAAATAAATAAAACAATTAAACTGTTGGACCAAAATTTGAATTAGTGGTTACCAGAGTGTTAGGGGGCAGTGATAATGTGCAGGTTAAATTTGGTCTTACATTGTGGCTTATGCACTTGATGACCCTTGCTGATGAATACTTGAAATTTAATGTTATAAAGCAATGTTACTTAAAAAAAAGAATAGATTACCATATATTTCAATTTCCAATAATAAAAATTATAATATACCCATATATACTGATATAACCTACTTATGTAAATCTTACACTTAAACATTTAGGTTTGTCAACAATAATCTACCTAAAGTGATTATTTACAATATTAGAAAATTTTACCATCATGCAGTAGTCAATTTTATTAAATTGAAGAAAAATCTGAAAGGAGTCTGTGAGGTATATTAGCATGATGTTTATTTATTTATTCTGATACATACATTTATAAAATATTATGTGTGTGTATACATGTATGAACCAGGAAGGAAGAGTGTGGTGCTGGGATTACAACTGTTTTCTTCTTTATACTGACTTATACTCTAAATCATAAAATATTACATACTTAAAAAGTTGCTTTAAAAGCTAATGGGTAGATAAGAGTGGAATAGAGAAGGGGAGGGAGAAGGGAATTGTGGAGGATTGTGGTGTAGAATGTGCGGAAATTGAGAGGCAGGAAAACTATATTTGAGGGGAGAAATCCTATATTTTAAAAAAATAAATAAATATATATATTTCTTATCTTATAGTATATAATGTAATTCCAAAGATGTGTTATACTATCCAGCTATAAAACACATGAAATCTACCACTTACTTACTACAAATGGATGCAAATGTAAAATTTTGTAAAATTTTGACCTTAGGGGGAAAAATATTTCTCTTTAGAAAAAATTTTAACTGGTAGGAAAAAATTGAGAACATTTTTGTAGGAATTCTGATTATAAGAAAAACTTAATATGTAATTTTTCACTATAAATCCTATCAGTATAGTTTAATGTGAGATGAAGTCAAAGGTTTTATATCAACTAATAGGACACCATTATATTATACTATGAATATAGTATTATTAATATACAGCATTTTTTCATAACTTCTAGTTTTATATAAAGTATGTCATTCCCATGTATATACATATATGTATAGTAACTGGCCAATCATTATCTCACAGAAAGCTTCATCTTTCAAAAACCAAGGCTAACAAATGTTTTTTTCAAACAGTCCAGGTTAGAGGTCACTGTACCTTCCTGTCACTCTCTTCTCGGCTTTTGCGTCGCTGTTCCTCTATCCTAGCTTCTCTTTTAACATCTTCTCCAATCCTTGTCAGAAGTAACATCTCTTTTGACTTCCATTCCTGGAAAGCATGAAGTTAATTAGTTCAATAGATGCTTAGAAATACCATAAACTTAGAATAAGTTAAATGCCTAACAAAAATTAAGTAAGCATAATGAATGTCATACCTAGCTTTAGAATGGGCTTTCTAAGAAAAACCTGTAAGTACAATCTTGGTAATCTTTTACTAAAGCTAAATTAAAGAATGTTTTCCTCTCCACACTAAGAGATAGGGAGGAATTAAATAATGTTTGGTGGCCCTCTCTGTTGGCGCAGTGGGTTAAAGCACAGCACTAAGAAGCTAAAGCCACTTCCACATGAGTTCGATCTCCGCCTGCTGGGGAGGTGATCCACAGGGCGAGGCAGACCTCTCTTGACCTGTCCTCTGCTCCCCTCAGCAGTGTACTTCCACTATCCGCCTGTTTGGCTCCCCACTCTGTCTCTGGTGAGTCCTCTCACCGCCCCTGTACCTCTAGCCTATACCCCAGTTCTGTTTGCACAAATAAATAAATCTTTTAAAAAATATATACATATATTGTTTTGTAACTTTGGCAAGCATATCTTTAAGAGCAATATTGGCTTATCTATACAGCTTATGGTATCATTGTGACTTCAGCCTCATGATTTATGTAACAACTTGCATTTTATATTTTTGAAGAAAGATTAATATGTGTAAAGATCTGAAGTGATTCAAGGTATATGACAGATAAACTTATTTATAAATGAAACAACTGTGTACAGTTTTTCTCTCAGTGTTTTAAATTATTTCTCTCACCTCTTCCATTTTTCTACGGAGACTAAGTTTTCTTCTTGTCTGTTCCCGCTGTCGTCTCTCTTCTCTGTCCATCTGGAGTAGACGCTGCTCTTCTGCTGTGCGCTCTAGGTGTTCTAACTCCTTACTTATCATATCCAAATACCTAAGTAAAAATTCAAAATAAATACAAGTGAGCTGGGTGTATCGCTTAATGACGGCATCATCAGCTGTTTTGTTCCTTCACCTTAGTTCGAATTAATTATTGGATTCTTAGGGACTCTATTTTCTCCAGGGGGAATTTCTTATTGTTCCCGGTTCCTATACTAATTGCTCTCCCTGCCTTTCTACATTGAGGGCAGCAGTGGAAGTAATGTCTAGGGATTTTAAAAAATATAGTACCTTAAATGATTTCTCATAAATTTCCAAGCTAATTGGATCCACAATTGATACATTAAAAAATGCATTAACTTCAATCTTACCTGTGTCTTATTAATTGTTCCTGGTCTTTAATAGGTTGGGTACTCTCCTGTAACAACCAGTTTTGGAACTGTGCAATATCAAAACGTCTGGGAAGTTGATTATTTTCCTGTAGTTTATTTACTTGTTTTGAAAGCATTTTCTATCAAGGAAAAAATTGTGTTTATCATTTATATGTTTAAGTCCTCACTTAATATCATTAATATGTTCCTGGAAACTGTGAGTTTAAGTCAAGTGTGGGATAATGAGAGCAGGTAACCAAATAATGTTGAATTCCCACTGTTTGTCAGGAAGGTTTCATTGTCATCAACTTTATAACACATTGATGTTGAAAAAACTTTTTTAAAGATCTGCAGTGTGTATGTGAGTGTATCTGCATGTGTATAAATGAAAAAAGGTTTTTTACATTTCTTAGAAATCAAATTTCCCTTTGATCTACCCTTTTATACTTAGGAAAAATTCGTGTATTTGTAAATAAATAATTGTTAAATTTTATTTAAATATATTTGAAACCCATTACAGACCTGGATAACTGAACCAAAGTAAAATGCTCTATATCTGAAAGTAAAAGATACATATTTTATTTTACCTTTCTACTCATTCTGAATAAATTAAATGAAAATATGGAACAGGTTAAGGAAACATTCTAGGCACAGAAAGGGAAACAGCAAAAATATAGAACCTTTTAGAACATAAATTTGTAAGGGCACATATATACATAATTATTTTTATTCAGCACTCCTGATTAAAATTTGAATCACTCACAAATAAATGCACATGCATGTACTTATACTGCACACATAGTCACACTAAATTTAAGTCAAAAATGAAAGTTTATCACTATTTATACCCACATTCTCTACACTAAATCATTCTACTTCACCTTCAAGAACATTTTTTTTTAATTGGGTGAATATAGCTGCATGCATGTGGGTACAGAAATATAATATACATTTCACCTGTAGAATATTATAATTATTCATATCATTCTTCCCTTATTCAAGCTGCCTTGGGTTCCAGTTGAAGAATTTTATTTCAACAATAGACTCTTTCTACTGAAGGAACATGTGAGCAGCAATTTAATTATTAAGTTGTGGCAGCTACCACTGATCTGTAGAGATGACCTGGTCCCTTTTCCTTTCATGGCCCATATAACAATCTCAAAATATTGTCTATTCCAGATGTATTAGCCAACACAGCAACCTGAAAATATTGTTTACTTCTGCTCTAAATTTCTACTTGGAAAATCACTTCATTAGTTTGTCAAAATTAAATGTAAAAATTATTATAATACTTCACATACAAATAAACCTTTTTCCCCAACCCTTTATAAAGAAATCAAATTTAAGTATTTAACTTACTTGTTCTCTTATATAGTTTCTTTCGAAGTCTAATTTTAAACTGGTGAGATATTGCCTGTACTTATTCAGTTCCCTCAAGGTACATACAATCTAAAAAACAAAACAGTAAAAACCATAGAGATATATAAATGCAAATACTTGAAATTCATAGCAATTACTTTAAAGAAAAAAAAATAGTAGTAGCATGCAATTTGATGGCATTTTGATATCAAGAGTAATAAAATGTTAATGATTCTGTAAGTAGTGTATCTGCATTTGTTCATCACTGAGAAATTTCTATCCAAATAGCATCTCTTTATTGATATGATTTGTGGGCATGATAATAAATTTAGTACATATAATTGACATATTAAAAATACTAATTTAATAGTAATGTTCAACTCTAATAAGAATGCAGTCTTTCAGGATTCTGCATTGCAGTTTCTGTCTTGTCTCAAGATTTCAAAACTGTATGCGACATAATCCTTGATAAGTATAACTAGAGTTAGTTCAGTTAGTAAATTATCTTTATGTCCTCAAATTAGTAAATATTTTGATATTATAAAGAAAAATGATGAAGTAAGAAATAGCTTCATTTACAAAACAACTATTGCCTTATTTTCTTTGATCTAAATACTGAGTGAGTTACAGAACTTCCCACCAAGTATCACTTATGACCAAGTTAGTGGTGATCCATGCCCCCAGTGATGTATAGGAGCAGGTTTATATCAAGTCTTAAGAAATTTTCAATGATTGAAAAGAAATATTCAACCCACTTTATTATTACTGGTGATGTAGCCACCTTTCTTTAATTTCCTCAGGATATCTTTACGTTTATAATATGACCTTAAATGTGGATCGTGAAGACTTTTATATTGGTTTTCCAAAAGTCGACAGTAAGGATCAGACAGGTTAAAATCATAAGAAGGTCGAAAAAGCTGAAAACACATTAAAACATGTTTAAAAATATTAAAAAGGCACAATTAGTGAATTTCTATTTTAAATGTCATCTATTGAAATGTCTAGAATGTTTATATAATATAAATCATCCAAGAATAACTTAAGCAAAAATAAAAAGCAGCAGAGAGATTTGGCTAGAACAATGTTGCCTGTTTATGTTTAGCTCTTTTCTGTATTGACCTAAATTATCCTAAAAAGCCATACTCTCTCACTTCATTCCTCACCCTATTTCCATCAGTCACTGTACCAGAATCAGAGAAGCGGAGGACAAGAATATGAAGGGGATAGGGTTAAATTTGGCTTAGTGTACAAAGCTAATGGTAAGATTCTCAATTTCCTCTCCCATTCAATATACTTCATTCAAAGGACAAAATGGTGTTATTAATGACAACTTAATCTTGACAATTTGAAAATTAGAGGGAAATAAAAATTCAATTAGACTTGTAAAAACAGCTTTAACAAAAAATAGAAGTAAAATTCAGGTGTTAAAAAATGGTGGATTTGGAAGTTATTTTATTTGGGAACTTTATCTAGGTTAACCAACAATCTCAGCATTGCAGTTAGAAAAAAATAAGTTCTATATAAAAAACTAAGGCATTGAAAACCATTTGTAACTGTTATTAACAGGAACTGAGACTTTTTCATATGTATAAAGACTAAACACAACCTTATGCAGTACTAAATAAGATACAAAAGGAATAAAATAGCAATAGTCATATGATTTTTTGGAGTGTGGCTTCTTAGTTAATTTTTCAACAACAGGATGGTGATAGTGGATTATAGGAAAACCTCTGAAAGATTGGAAGTAGGTACAGAAATTGTCCTAGTGTACAGAAATTGTCCTAGTGTACCTTTGTATTCTATTATTATTATTATTATTATTATTGCTTTCAGGTTTTCTTGGTCAGAACAAAAGGAGGTTAATCTAAATGTCAAAGCAGGAGTTGGCAATTGGACTATATCAGAGTTATGACAAACTAAAAACACCTATCTGTTTTCAGGTATCTTATTCGATTTATAAGACCTCACACACTGTGTACCAGTGTGTCTGCAGGTACCAACTTGTGATCTCTGTGTTAGTATGGCTATAATCATGTCAAGAAGACTGCAAACACCAATAAATCTAGCTGGGTCAGCCCCTAAAAAGTACAACCATCCAAGGTTAATAGGCAGATGCTTCATATATGAGGCCACATGGGAGAAACCTGATAGGATGTTAGATTTCCTTTTCCATTTAAAAGCATCTTTGCTAAATTTCCAACTTTCCTTATGACTAGATTTTAATCCCTTCTGAGGAAGCTAAAACAAAAAGTAGAATTCTTAAATTATCAATGCTTCCCTGAGAAGGCATGAAAAAGAACCATACAGAGCAATGTCTTGCATTAGGGGATACCAGCTAAACAAACCACATGTACTCAGTAAGGGAAGCAATCATAAGTCAAAGAGTGGCTTTTCATGTTGACATTTAACCATCACCTTCTTTTAGATAATGACTTTTAGCCATGATGATATGTGTTTCTTGAGACCCAGCCTGGTCTACTGACCTATAAGCAAAGAACACTTTTTAAATGAATGCATTCATTTGATTCAGAGTTACCCTTCTGTTTTCAAATAGATGATTTCACTTAACAAAACAGTACTAAACAAAAGAAACCTATGTGTAAATATAAGGCATTACTTTATCAAAGGGTTGTATTTAAAGAAAAAGAAAGATAATGTAAAATCAAAGACACTTCAAAGAAATTGTGCAGTTTAATTAAAATTAAATGAAGACAGTTTGAGAGTAGTTGAAAGCACCAAACCTTAGTCACTAAGGTGACTATTTATATATTTATATTTATATATATAAATGAATATTTCACAATGGACTATGGTGGGAGATTATGGGTGTTTTGATGGTGGGTGTGGCATGTATATCTGAAGAGGTGTGAACCTATAACTCTAAATCATCTACAGTGTTGTAAATCAAGGTCACTTCGATAAGAAATGTAGTTTAAGTACATATTAACTAAAAAAGGTAGTTGACAAGTGAAGTAATATAGAGACAAAAATATGGCTATGTGTATGTACTAAAGAGGAGTGATTAAGTAATGGAAGGTTTCAGCACATTTTATGAAAGCTTGTGTGGCTGTAATTCAGTCATTGTGTGAAGCTGACATTTTATTAGCTAGCTTTATTTTAATAGAACAGATGTATTTTTAAATAGGTAGTTAATTTTTTTCAGAAACAATTTAAGAAATCATGTTTATTAACGTAAAATACCAAGGAAACCTACTTCTGATGACATCACAGACACTAGAAGGATAAAGGGGGTCACTTAGAATTCTTTATTTCAGATTTTTTTTTTGTTAATTGGTCAAAGCAACCACTTGAGAAGATCCATACTGAACCTTCATCAGTGTTACAGAGTTGGGGGCTGGGAAGATTTTAGCAGAAGGAGTAATACTGAGAACTAAAATTTTCATGAAAACGGTTGAAGGAAGTGCACACTGTAACCCAGTATGATTTAAATTACGAATTAGAATTTGAAACTATAATGTTGAGTGAAATGCAAGCCAGGGGTAACGCCAATTCTCAGTAAATATAAGCTAACTGGGGACTGTGATAGTTCAGAAAGAATCTTAAAAATGGCTCATTTGTGGATTGGGGAAGAGGCTTAAAGGGTGTCTTATTTGGCTGGCAAGGTAAGCAAATGCAAGTGAGAACAAAGCATGTGGAGTAGTAATCAAAGACCCCAAATGGAAAATAAACTTCCACCTTTCAATCAGACATGTCTCTAAGTAAATAAGTTCTCATTAAATTGGTATATATGAAGTTAAAAGTGAATATGCTTCCATTAATTAGAAATGAATACAGATCCACTAAGGTAAAGTTTCTAGCCCATGGTTTGGTTCAAACCATACTAGATGGAGTTGCTGGTATACATCCTTAAACAGTACAAGGTTAGATGTATGCTTGACTATCTTCCTCTGTGCATACAGTGACAATTTCCTTTGTGGGAATTTGGAAACGCATCATATAGCCCCTGAAATTAACAGCCAACAGCAAAAGGCAAAGATAACCAAAATCAAAAAAAAAAAATTACCTTTTCACTTAAATTTGTAGTATAGTATAGAGTATTGCTTCCTGGGATCACAGGCAGCTTCACCCCAAGAGGAAGATCCAACAGTTGAGCTGCTCCGACTCCTGGAAAGTGGGTTTTGTGTGCGCCCTGTCAGGGACAGTTTGGAGAATTGTTTTTCTTGTGGGCTATTCCTCTTTAATTCAGGACAACCTGCTCCTTAGAAGTCATGGGACCTAAGACTCATACAGTCAGTTCAAGAGGCCTGCCCCAATGGACAGCCCTAAAGATTTCCCGTTTCCCAAGCACCAGTTCTTCTAGGGCAACGCCACAGACGCAGTCGCGGCTTATAAGCCCAGCCGCCGCCACCACCACCACCGGCTGCGCAGCTCCCGGGAGCCAGAAACCCGACGGTTACTAGCTCGTGACGGCTTCTGTGTTTCTCCCTGCCCCCCAACCCCCAACCCAGCAGGCCTACATCTGGCAGAAGACCAAACAGGCGAGTAAGCGTTGCTACCACTCACATCTCCACACTGTTGGTTGTCGGTGGCCATGCTACTAGTGGCTGTCTTGGAGGCGGCAACATTAGCAGCCTTGGAGCAAGCACTGAGGTACAGCTCCATGGCGGCCTGGATCTCGGCCTACTGTGCCTGCCGCTCTAGCTTCCCTCGCACCCCTTCCTGGTGGTCCCTCCGTCCTGACCGGACCGGGAATGGCCAGTACACTTTCTCGAGGTCCCACTCTCTGGACATTCCAGGCTCCGAATGCGGGGGGCCCCTGGGAGGGCCGTACCCTCAGGGGGTTCTTCCCTCAAGTCCACTGCGTGAGTGCCTCTGAAGTCTGAAATAAGCCTTGGTCGGGGGAGGGGGACACACATTAAATTAACTTTCTCTCTCAAACCAATGTTTTCAGATAAACCAAACCATAATGTGTAGAGCTTTGCTGGTGGGTAGCTGATTTTTCATGGCCTCCCAAGTCTATCCATGCCATTGTACCTCCCATCTAGGGCCAGCGTCCTGACGCACCTGGCATCCTTACAGATACTGTGGACACACCCCATCCCCAGACTCCTGCGACCTCTTTTTGCTGCAAGTTCTACATAACTTACATTGGCTTCCTTATGTCAGTAGTTTGGTTCCAGCCCTTCCTCCAGGATCCTGTTTCTTCCCCGTATTCATTATATCTCTTCCACACCCTCTTCTCTGCCTTCCTTACTTTATCCTATGTCTTTTTCTTCCTGCCAACCAGCCTGCTGAAATTTACAAAGTACCCGGTCCCTTTATGCCAATTAGTAAACTGGCCACTGAGGATGAGGCAGGACCATTTTATCTAGGATAAATTGTCCAGGATATGTATATATGTATGTATGTATGTATGTGTTACCACTGCCTTCAAGACGCTAACTAGACTTTTTGAGGGCAGAAACTAGATCTGATTTGTTGGAAATTGAGATTAAGTCTGATTCTTTTGTCCACTATTCTGTTATTTGGGGGCCTTTTAATAGTTCTCTGAAGATTTACTAACTTCAGATAGTGTACTATACTTATTTAGTATAAGAACTTACCACATTTATTTGTTTAGTATAAAAACTTATTTAGTATGAATATTTCATATATACTCATCACATTTAGTTTTTATAAAAGCTTTTTTGGTAATTCTTTTTTTTTTCTTTCCAAATGATTAAAAAAGAGTGATCATCATTACACAGTGGTCCCAGAGGCAGTTTCTTAATTGATATACTCTATACTTAAATTTACTCTTTCTGTTTCCATGCCACTCATGCTTAGAGCTCTTAAATTTGAAATATAGTATTGGGATATAATTCACTGACAACTCTTCCCCTGGATGTTCAGAATCATGTCAAATTCAATGAGACTGAATGAGATTCAAATATAAACACTCACACCTCCTTTTCATCAACACAAAGGACTTATTTTTCTTCCTGTTTTCCCATCTCAATGGAAATTATTAGTATCTATCCAAGACGGAAATTGAGAAACATTCTCAGGTACTTCCCTTTATCCCACCTTCAGTTTGCAAACTCTGAGTCCTGAGGATTACCCATCTTTTTTTAAAAATTGTGTCATTACCAACAACTTTATATCTCATTGCCACCATTTTCCCCAGAAACCTATCTTTTATTGAATTGATCTTTGAAGTGCATTCCTTTTATGCATTCCCTGAGCTTATATAATTTTTAAAATAACAAAATTATCCTTTCCTTTTCCTTATATTAAGCCTCCAGTTGCTCCCAGGGCTAAAACAAATTACACAACAGCCTAAGTGACACAGCCCCTATATTAGTTTCCCATTGCTGCTATAACAGATACCATAAATTTATGGTTTAAAACAACTTGAAGTTTTTAATATACAATAATCAAGGCCAGCAGTCAGCCTCATTGAGCAAAATCAAAATGTTGGCAAGGCTATGTTCTTCTGGACTATGGGATAGTCTGTGTCCTTGTTCTTTCTGGCTTCTAAAGTTGACATTTTCCTCCACTTCAAATCCATCTTCTAACATCTTCAAATCCTCTAATTCAGACTCTTGCTTCCATCATTTTTTAGCTTTTGGGCTAAAATCAAGTGCAGACCCTTGCTTCCTCTTTCGTAATTAAAAATCTTTGATTACACTGGGCATATATAGATGATCTAGGACAATTTTTAAACTTAAGTCAGCTGTTTATCAACCTTAATTCCTCTGTAAGTAAGGTAACTACCTATCTCTTGTAAATCTACTTTATTAATTTGGGTCACAGTATATCTGGTGTGCTATGATAGGATCTCTTTTTGAGATCTTTGCTGACTTTTTGCTAATATACTGGATAATTTTGTTATTTTAAAAATTATATAAGCTCAGGGAATGCATAAAAGGTAAATAGTGGCAAGCTTTGTATTATGGACTAACTTGCAAAATATTATAATTACTGTTTCCTTTAAAAAATCAAAGCAAATTTAGTAATCATAATAAATATATATACAGTCTAAAATATATCACAAATTTAAAATAACTTTGAACTTTATATACAAGTGTTAATATAATAGATCTGAGACATCTTTTAGAAAAGCCTGCTTGCAAAGTTCTCTTTTGGATGGCATCTGGGAACTTTGTAATTGAACTATTTGCAAATTGATAACATTTCATTGTGCCTACCCTGTTTGTAAAAAACAGGTGGGTTATGATAAACACATGCATTCTCTCTGGGAGTTTGGAATTGTGACTGACTGGTGTCCACTGAAAATTCATATGTTGAAGTCATATCCCCCAGTACCTTAGAATATGATCCTATTAAATAAGGTCACAAGGGGGTTCCCTGATCTGATATGACTAGTTTCCTAATGAGAAAGGAGATTGGAACCGACAGGCATGGTGGGAAAACCATGTGAACACAGAGATAGTAGGCATCTGCAAACCAAGGCAAGAAGCCTCAAAAATAAATCAACCCTGATGCTTAGTGAAATAAGTAGAAAGGAAAAAAAAAAAAAAGATTGAATGGTCTCACTTGGAGCAGTGTAGAGAAAACAAAAAAGGAATCAGAAACTAAAGCAACTAGAATAAAGTAAAAATCCAAATCATCGGGCAACTGTAGATCAGAGTCATTCTGTAGGGGAGGAGGAAGGAAAAGCAGCAGGACAGGGGTGGTAAGATCACAAGGGACTGTGGTGGTGGTTCAAGAGGAATTGTGGTGGGGATTTCATCGGGGAACCATACAATGTACAAAGAAGGATGAGACAACGATTATATTTTTAAAAACTTTAAAAATTAAAAAAATA